TATTTCTTTTGCAATTAACTCATGTTTATGTGCAGGAAGAGTCATTTTCCATATGTGATAGATGTCTCCTCCTGATTTACTTTTGTTTTGCTTTACTGGTTCTCTTGGTCTGTCAAGGATGACTCCTCAAAAACCTTGTGTTTTTCGTGATTGTGAATTAGTTTCTTGATACATTCCAAACGTAGTAGTAATTCATTCAAATTAGAACTTTCTGATAACCAATTATGAGCAGTTTGATTAACAGGATTTTCTTGCCAATTACTGCTTGGGACTTTCTCTTGATTTACACAACTACAAGAATGCTTTGAAGATGCTGAGCTAAAGGGTATAAGAGGAATGAAACAACTAGCAATGTGTGCTTTAAGAGTGAGAAATCTCTCTGACATGAACTGCTACTGTACCCAGCTGTCTTGGAGGTGAGCAGATCTGCACCTGAAGAAGCCGATTAAAAGAAATAGACTGCTTTTCTTTGCCTGTTTGGTGAGAAATTCTCACTTTATAGATAAACACTCGACTTTACTTTTTTGGGCTTATTTAACTTTGAATTCTTGTAGTAAATAAAGCCTTTCTGTCATTTATTGAATGAGATCTCATGTCAATCCTTGACTGCTAGTCCAGAATGCCATTTTATTACTTAACAAGGGGGCCATGGAATAGGGGTGACTAGGGGGCAGAGCCCGGGGACAGGTGGCCAGCACCCTGGCCTTTGGCTGCTCCCCCATCGGTGTACATGCCACAGAGTGTGGCAGGTGGGGGGCTCACCTACGGGAGATGGTGGCCGGTGCTCTCCCTACATGGGCAGCTCTTCCAGCAGCTCGTGTCCAGGGCCAGCAGGGCTGACATGCAGTCCTGGCCCCATTGCAGGCAGCTCTGGCTCCACACCCAATGTGGAGGCTGAGTGAGGAGTAGAGATGGGCCCAGGCAGGGGGTTGGGTGGCACCGGACCTGGGGCAGGGGCCAGGGCAGGGACTTCTGGCTGCTGGAGATGGTGCAAGATCTTCTCCCAGGCCCAGGCCAGGGCCTGCTGGTCATCACTGGGTGACTGCCAGGGGGCAGGTGGAGATAGGGTTGGAGGCCAGGCAGGGGGCAGCATGAAGGCAACTGCCAGGGTCAAAACAGTGTCTAGCACCTAGTGCTTGTCATCCATGGCCTGAACTGCCCGGGCCAGGATGGTGTTCTGCTCCCACATCACCTCCACCCGCTCGTGCTCAAGGGCCAGGAGCTGCACTCAGAACTCCCTGTCTGCCTGGTCCCATATTTTCTTGCACCAGTCCCACACCTCCTCACACCAGTCCCACGTGTCATCGTGGGTAATGTCCTTTGCCCACGACCTGTCCTGGCATACCATGTCTTCTACCCACCAGGCCTATGCATCTACAAGCTGGTCCTCTGATGCCGTAACCAGGTGTCTGCCAGGGACCTCCTCTGGCAGAGCTGACACATCTGCAGGGCCCCAGCTGTGGACAGCGGTGGCCCTGGGGTCACATCCCAGCTGCCAAGGGCTGCCTCTCCCCTGCATGCAACTGCAGGCCCTATAGAGCCATGAGATAGAAGCTGTTCTTGTGAGAATTTGCAACATTTCAGAGATAAGATGCTCTGTACCAGGGGCTGTGCACTACTCAGTCTCAGATCAGGGGTTGAGCATGCACAGGTGGCCAGGGACCATGGTAAGTCGGCTGGGAAGGCATGGGCCCAGGCAGCCACCAGCTGAGCCTCCCATCCCTGCTCACTGCCCTGAGGTTGACAGGCTACTGGGTGCTGGCCACAGGCAGCCTGCCTCCCCTGCCCTGTTCCCAGGGTGGGACAGGCCAGGTTCCTGGTAGCACCTGCTGCTGCAGCTCCAGACCTTGCTTCCCCCACTTCTCCTCCTGGAGGCTAATCGCTCTGCTGTGATGCTGCCTAGCCGACAGCGCCCTGTCTCAGGGGGCATGGGGCTCCCAGGCAACTGGGACAAGGAGCTGTCCTCATCCCTGCCCTCCACACAGAGGTCTTCTCTGGGGAGGTGCCCCATGGCCTGCCCCCACCTCTGTGCTGGAACTGTGCCTCAAGTATGCCCCTGCTGCACATGCCCCAGGCAGTGTGTGAGGAACTGTTTGCATGGGCTGAGGGCTACCCAACCCACTACCCCCTGCTGCTGCTGATGGCCATGGTGCCCTGGCTCACCTGCACATCTGGTACAGGACCCCGAACCACGATGGCTTGGGAGGCAAGCCCGGGCTACCCTACAACCTCCACTGCTACCCGGTGGCTGCATTGCATGTCCCTGTCCCCCACTGCCAAAGAAGACATTGCTGCCAGCAATGACATGTTGCTCAGCATGTAAGAGGCCTGTGCCCGCCTAGCTGCAGGGGCACAAGCTGCTCAATAAAGTTTTGCACTGTCTCCCACCTCCCTGTGTGCTGTGGGAGGAGATCCCTGGGCAAGGGGAGTGCAGGTGAGCTGGGGCTGGGGGCAGGGGCAGGGACCTTATCACATGGCTGGAGCTGGCATGGCTGGTGGCTTCATGCAGTCATGGTGGTTGGTGACGGCATGTGGCTCCAGGCAGTGTCCTCAAATGGTGAGGCACAGCAGGTGGGTGCCTGGCCAGGGACCCTGCCCAGGGAGGAGCTGGCACTGCTGATGGCTGGCAGTGTCATGGCTGGCCGTGCCTCATGGTGGGGCCTGGGTCTGCAGAGATGGAGAGGCTGGTAGAGGCTCCCTGAGCCTCCCCAAGCCTGGGTCTGCAGATATGGCGAGGCCCAGGCTCCCCGAGCTGCTGGTAGAGGGTGCAGCTGGGAAGCTAGGTGGGACAGGCTGCTGGAAACCCAAGGGGCCCTCTCCTGGTGATGTGTCACCGGGGGTGCCAGGCCAAAGAGGGAGCTTGGGCAGGCCACCCATGCAGCTATAGACAGTGGCCTGGGTCCTGGGGCCTGAGTATGTCCATCAGTAGACGCAGACAATTCCACCTGGAAAAGGGACACTTGGCACAGTCTGAAGACCCCCTGGGAGGGGAAGAGGACAGAGAAAAAGGAAAGGACAATGATGTAACTGGACCCAGAGACAGTGAGGAAGACAGCAACAGGATCAGCAGCAATGGAAGTGACAGCAAAATTGACAGCAACAAGGACAGGGAATGAACTGAGAATGGAAACCCCAAATCAGGGTTTGGACTAAGGGACTGAGATTGGGTTAGGGAAGGGCAGTGGGTGGGTGCATGGGGATGCAGGGGAGCTACTGCGTTTATTGTAACAGGTTCACGGTTTCTTAATGTGGTTTAAGGTGTGTGATGGGAAGTTTTATGCTAGATGATGTGTGTATCTATCTATCTATCTATCTATCTATCTATCTATAACTATATAGAAATATATTTTTTTAAAAAGTGTCTGTCAGTTGCCACATAAAAGGCATGGAATTATGGGCACTCCTTGACTTAACAGTTGTGGTCTGTGATGGTGATCCACTGTGCCCACAAGGCCTTGACATTTATGCGGCACTGCCACAGTGACTGGAAGTGCCCATGCTCCCACATCTGGCCTGACAGCAACTCATAGACATGGGTGTTGGAATGTCCATTCTGCTCAAACTGGTGCTGCCCCTCCACCTTTCCGCCCAGCACCACGAGGGCACCAGTTTCCTCCATGGACCAACTGGGGCCACGGGTGGTGTGTACAGCATGGCCACACCAGCATGCTCATAGCAGGCCCAGCATGGCCTGCTATGAGCCTGCAGCACCTGCAGGCTCATAGCAGGCTGCTGGGGGTGGGCTGCAGGCAGGTGGAGCTGGCCCCAGAAGTCAGAAGCTGCCTGCAGCTGGGCCTGGGTGCTGGCAGTCCTGGCTGCAACCTGCAGCACCCTGCTGGCCTGGATGGCATGGGAACTGCACTGCGAGGTGCGTGGCAGGCAGCAGTGCTGGGCTGCAGGCAGGCTAAGGCAGTTGGCCTGTGGCCTTCCCAGGGGGACACAGGGGCCTGCAGTACCCTTGGTCTCTCTGCTGGTGTGCCCCAGGGCTCAAAATGCCTACAGGAAGCCATAGAGGCAACCCAGCCCTGGGGCAGGAGAGGCTCCCAGTCCAGAGTCCTGGGGCTAGCCTCAGGTCAGCCCCCAAGTGGCAGAGGTGGCCTGGAAACAAACTTGTTCCTGGGTCACATCTACATGTGCAATAACTAGTTACAGGTAGCAAATTTACTCGTTATTAAACATTTTTACTGTGCAGTAAGCATGTACATGTGGGTACTGTGCAGCAAGCCTGTACTACTGTATGCTACTGCATAGCTAAACATCTCATGTAAGATGTGCCCACAGATAAAGTTTTGTTGGTCCTAAATAATGTAGGAATAACAATGCATTTTAGAGGTATTGTCTATTAGCCTCCATCATTTTTTTTGTCAAGCCATCTTTAATAGCTATAGTTGGTTCTTGAAGATAGTTGTAAGCCTTTTCTTGGCCTGGACTTTAGCAGAATACTTCTGGATCTCCACCAAGGTGGTATCTCCCCCTTCCTCTCTCTTTTCCCCTCTTCCCCTTCCCCACCTCCCTTCCCCCGAGAAATGGCAGAGGCATGAAATAGAAATAGCTTGTATCTTTGGATTTTTTGCAGTACAGAAATAAGTCTGCAGGCAATTAGACACATGCCATTACTGTGTATTAGTTTCTGTTGCTGGAGTTCATAACAATAGGAGGAAAAAGCATAGTTATGAGACCAATGAAAGGCACAGACCAATATGGGCAGTTAGATTTAAATTCTGGGTAAGTGGTAGCATGGATGTGTTAAAGGACTGCAGGACACACACAAAAAATAGTTCTTGTATGTGGAAAATGTTTATTAGCCATTTCACCAAACACCCAATTCCAAAGACATGAGTCATTTCTTCCCCTCCTGCTTTCTCTGTTAAACATCACTCCAGAAGTGACAGTGTTAATAAATACAGTGAAATGGTATCCCTGTAAGCCCAGCCACATGGTCACATGGCTCAGTGTGCTGGTTTTATTTTTAACATCCCAAACTACTTGATATACTTTTCTACTTGGGCTTTCTCTGTCTTTCTGTTTGTTCCTCTTTCTCTGCACCTACGTATCCCTTTCCACCTCACTTCAACACTGCTGAGCAAAACCAAGAGTCTTGGTGCTATCACAGGGATCCTATGATCAAGGTAAGGATTTGTAAATAGAGTCTTTATTAAAACAAGCTTATGCTTTATTTCCCAGCTATGCCATAAAAATCAAAACTGAAACCTACATATCTCAGTGGTTAAAATAAAACCACTTAGATTATAAAACCTTATAAAAAATAAGTGCTCACTGGTGCTCAGTGTCTCAGTTTTTATCCACTATACCTCAACACCTCTAAAATTGACATGCAGGATGTCTCCTGTTGAACATCCAGAACAGAGGCACCCAATATTGGTAAGCACTTCTGAAAATGTTGGCCTTAAACTTTATTTTTTATTTTTCTAGTAATCCATACAAATTCTGAATATTTTAATGGTTCGCTTATATACTTCCCTAAAACAATTGCATATACACTGTAAATTACATTTAAGAAAAAATTCAAAATATGGGCTCTAAGCTGTAAACTTCAACTTCAACATGAGGTTGCAGAAGCAGAGGGCAGAAGGTCAAATGAAGATTCAACCTTTGGGATTTTCAAAGTATTCTGAAAAAGAAGGTTGCAAGATACATAGGTGAAGGGCTGGAAAAAAAAGTCAGGAGTAACCTTGAGATGCCCTGAAGCAAGCCATTCATAAGACTTTAAAAACTAACTACAGTGGGGAAAAACAGGAAGACATTTCCATGTCTAGCCCCAAAGTAGATTCTAAGACAATATAGGATTACACAGAGACAGTGTTGATGGCACATCATAGAATTGATATTTTTAATATTATAAGGACTCTTTTAGTTGCTCATGACTGCCAAATTTTAACCTTTTGAACTGAAATTTTCAATCCTGGGTTCCTTTCAATTTTCTGTCTTAGAGCAAAGTTAAAAAAAAATTCTAGCAATGAAACTGTAACATTCTTATAAATGTGAAAGTATTGTAATTGTTTAGTTCAGAAGCTTGAAATATGGAAATATGATATGCCCTGTTGTTAGAGAGGTGCCTTTTGTCAGTCCTATAAAATCTGACCAAATTTGGCCAGGTTATAAACCACTGAAAAATTGCAGATAGCACATAATCAGCAGAAGTACATGAGAGTTCAGCATCATTATGCTCCAAAGAGTTCATCTCTACTTCTGCTGCATCCCCACACAGTTCCCAGGTGCTAACAGATGTCACATAAAGAAATCCCACTAAGCCAAGAAATGTGTTTTATTCTGGAGTGTTATGGGGATAACTAGGCAGACAAGGTTCCTTGGGTGAATCTGATATCTTATTAGACCAACCCAAATAGTTGGAAAATAGTTATTAAGCAAGCTTTCGGGTTCAAAAACCCTTCGTCAGGCTAAGGAAGTTTCAGCAGTTGGTGTGTGCTCTTCCTGGATGGAATGAAAAGTAAAGAAGCCAGCAGCTGGGGTGGTATGCATACAAGGCAGGTAAATGTAGATTGAGGAGTCAATGGGTGACAGACAGGCTGGGGAGGGGTGGAGGAGGGGAAAAGAGAGAGAAGGGTGATGAAAGTGGAGAGATACCTGGGGAGTCAGATGTCAGGCAGGTTATAATGTGTCATAAATCCAATGTCTATATTTAGTCCATGATTTTTAGTATCCAGGAGGTTGATGAAGTGGAGTTCATAGGCTCGTCTCTGGGAAGTGTTTTGTAAATTTCCTTTGAGGATCAGGAATTGAATATGATGGAATTTATCATAAAGACATATAAATTATTTTTCTTTACTAAAGTGGACAGAATTGGAACACTCCTGTAGTTTTGAACACATATCAAGCAAGCTTTTCAATATGTAACCCAATTTTTGTGCATTTATTTGCCAGTTGCCAAGAGCAGGGCCATATTAATGCATAGGCAAACTAGTCACATGCCTATAGCCCTAAGCTGCTGGCAGCCCTGGTCTTTCCCTCCACAGCATCAGCAGAAATAGCCCCATTCACCTCTCTTTCCTGCCCTTCCCTTCCCCTCCGCTCTGCAGGCCTCGCTGCAGCAGCAGCTGCTTCCTAGCTGTGGCTCTGAGCCCTAATCCCCACAGGCAGCAGTGCCAAGGTGGGGAGGCGTGTTTCAACCAGCCTGGGGCCCATGTGTTTATTTGCCTAGGGCCACTAAAGAGTTAATCCAGCCCTGGCCAAGAGACTGAGAAATACAACCCATTTCAAAGCTGTAGCCAAGTTCAGAAAAGTTTGTTCTCCTTATTCAACCTATTTGCTCCTTGTGTACCTTAGAATTTTATCTGTTACCTTTACTGACCCCAGAATTATTTTAGCATCTGTTGGTATTTTGAGTTGATATTGCTGCTGGAGAGTGAGCCATAATTTATTGCATCTTGCATCAGCAATAGTCATCGGCCAACATCTGAAGACAGAGCTTCTGATTACTGACTAAATGACAGGGAAGCAAAAACCCATTAGGCTCTGGTGGAGATTGATGCTTAATATGAAAAATCAGATCAAGCAAGTTGGATATTCAGCAAAAGAGATGAAAAGTCACTCTTCTCCTCTTTTAGGCTATAAAAAGTTGATAAGGCCCAGATTAAAAAGATCAGGTATGAGCTCACATGAACTATGATACTGAATCTAAACTTCAGGCTCTGTCCTCTGTTCATCTCTGGTAAGAGCGAATGAGGTGTTTTATTTTTGCAGCAGATAGAATTAGTTTCATTTTACGCTAGTATAACTGAAAGCAGGATCAGCTCCAGAAATTCTGTAGACTACACTTTTTGCATTCTGCACCCAATGGACTTGTGCAAATTGTAAGTGAAATGAATGCTTACATGCATTAGTTACCAGTCAAATTTATATATATATATGTGTGTATGTGGGTATTTATATATACATACATACATACATACATATATGTATGTATGTATATACATATATGTATATGTCTATATGTATATGTATGTATGTTTATATAAATACCCACATACACACACACATATATATTCTATATATATGTCAATTGCTGTGTGTATATCTAGATATCTAGATAGATATATAGGTATAGATATCAATGGTTTGTCCTGAATTTAGTCCTTCAGTGGAAAGTACTGTTCAAACATTCATGTTTTTTATTACTGCGTAACATACCCAGCCTTCCTCTAACCTTATGTAAGTCCTGGCTGAGACTATTTTTAGAGATTACATTTAGCAATGAAATACTATAAGAATCAAAGTGGCAGGGATGCTGCCAGTGAGAAATAAACTGCCCAGTGTCTTGCTCTTCTGAGCTGCTTAAATGCAGATAAAAACTAATACAGCCATGAGAGAAAGATCTTATCTTTTAAAATATATGAATATTGGACTTCAAGACTGAATCATAGAAAATTAGGGTTGGAAGGGACCTCAGGAGGTCATCTAGTCCAGCCCCCTTCTCAAAGCAGGACCATCCCCAACTAGCTTTGTCTAGCTGGGTCTTAAAAACCTTCAAGGATGGAGATTCCACCACCTCTCTGGGTAACCTGTTCCAGTGTTTTACTACCTTCCTTATGATAAAATTCTTCCTAATATATAACCTAAACTTCCCTTGCTGCAACTTGAGACCATTGCTCCTTATTGGTGTCATCTGCCACCACTGAGAACAGTCTAGCTCCATTGTCTTTTGAACCACCCTTCAGGTAGTTGGAGGCTGCTATTAAATCTCCTCTCAGTGTTCTCTTCTCTAGACTAATTGCATCTTGGTATACACCACATTTTTTGCCCTTTCATGAGCTGCAATGGTGTAACTGTTTGCACGAGCAGGTTTTCTGGATGCTTTAAAAGTCCTTCTGGTGTACAAAAGTAAAACTCCTCAAATGTAGTTTAGTTTGGCTCACCAGGAATTAAAGTGTCATGTCCATAGATTCATTGTGTGCAAACACAGAGGCACTCAAAGACATGTAGTGAGCATCTCTGTCCACCAAATGGCACTGCGACTTTTTTGTAGTTCACCCCTTCAAGTTGCTTCCACTTTCAAATTGCTTCTGCTTTTTTTTCTTGTGCTGTTTGCCAGCTCCGTGCACCCACAGCTGTGGGGCAGGGCACAGGTGAGGGGCCCCGGGCTGGAGGCAGGGCAGCACTGGACTGTCCTGCTCTTCTATGTCACTGGCTGGGGACTAGGCTTAATTAGTTTGAAAACCAACTGTGTGCAAACACTGGTGCAAGGATCCAAATCGTAATTCATTAAAAAACCTAATTCATGCAAACACTGATGTTACACTCCAAAATAAACAAATTTAAATGTTATAAACCTATTTAATTTAATGAGAATTAAACTCCATGATGTGTATAGGCACCCATTAAGCCCAGTTCCCTTACCCTCTCCTCAGAAGTCATGTCCCTCAGGCCCCTCACCATTTTTGTTGCCCTCCGCTGAATTCTGTCCAATTTATCCAAATCTTTTCTGTAGTTGGGGGTGGAGCAAAACTGAACACTCCAGATATGGCTTCACCAGTGCTGAGTAGAGGGGAATAATCACTTCCTTTGACCTGCTGGCAACACGCCTACCAATGCAGCCCAGTATGCCGCTAGCCTTTTCGGCAACAAGGGCACACTGCTGGCTCATATTCAGCCTATTGTCCACTGTAACCCCCAGGTCTTTTCTGCAGAGCTGCTGCCCAGCTTGTCAGCCCCCAGTTTGTACTGGTGCATGGGATTGTTCCTAAATGCAGGACTTTGCACTTGTCCTTGTTGAACCTCATGAGATTTTAGCTTTTTCTGCATTCTGTCACAAGGATGCCTCCCCCATTCAGTAAGGGACCCACACTTTCCCTCAGCCTCCTCTTGCTACCCACATACTTGTAGAAACCCTTCTTATTACCATTCACATCCTTTGCTAGCTGCAACTCCAATTGCACTTTGGCCTTCCTGACCTCATCCCTGCATGCAGGAGCAATACTCTTATACTCCTCCCTAGTTATGTGTCCAAGTTTCCACTTCTTATAAGCTTCCTTTTTGTGATTTAATTTACTGAAGAATTCACTGCTAAGCCAAACTGGTCTTTTGCCATACTTGCTAGTCTTGCACATTGAGATGGTTTGTTTCTGTACTCTCAGTAAGACTTATTTAAAGTAGACTCCTAGACTCCTCTCTCCTTCAGACTGCCCTCCCAGGGGAGGAACTCATCCTGCCTATCAGTTCCCTGAGTAAGTTGAAGTCTGATTTTCTGAAGTCCAGAGTCTTTACTCTGCTGCTCTCCATTCTTCCTTTCCTGAGGATCCTGAACTCAGTCATCTCATGGTCACTGCTGCTAAGTTGCTACATCCACTACTACATTCCCCACCACATCATCCCGGTTTGTGAGCAGCAGATCAAGAAGAGCATGACCCCTAGCTGGCTGCTCCAGCACTTGCACCAGGAAATTGTCCCTTGCACTTTTCAAAAACTTCCTGAATTGCCTGTGAGCTGCTGTATGGTCAGCGCCAGCCTCGTGTTATCCCGAGGGTGACCTTGTGTTATCCCGAGCGCAGATTGAACCCACCTCTGTGGGGAGCCCAGCTGGACTAGGCAGGAGTGTCTCTGGAGTTTCCTGGGTACACAGAGACAATGGCACTGATGGGTGGTGAAGCAGGAGGGAAGGGAAGGGGAGAAGACATGCTGCTGAGCACAGAGGGAAAGAGAGTGAGGATTCTTATTTGCTTCAGGCACTTAAAAAACCCCCACCCTTGGCTGCTTCTCCCATGACACAGCTGACTGAAATGGGGATGCATCTGTGCCACTGTACCCCCTTCCCCCAGACACACCCCTGGTTCCAGCAGTTTCCTTCTTCTGATGGGGTTTCTTGCCTCTACAGAGTTCAGAGCTAAGCCTCTTACCTTGCTCAGCAGTGGCACTTCTCCTGTCCAAGTTCTTGATGCTCTGGGCCACAAAAGTTCTGTTCTTAAAGGGGCCTTTCCTGTCCATCAGTGCTTTCTCCATGACAGGGCTTGGGTCCCCTGTTACAGATAACCTACCAGTTTGCAAGGCTGGATCCAGAGGGGTTGTAGGGACATGGTCGCCCTCCCCTTTAGACCATGCCATGGGAGCAGCAGCCAGAGATTATTGGTAAGTTCCAAAATAAGGTGAAAATTCCACCCCCCTGCTTGTCTTCTGTGTTCAGTGACACATCCCCTCCCCCCCTGTCTCTGGCTAACCTGGGGTTGTGGTGGACTCTAAAGTCACTACTGCCCCACTCCAGCTAGTCTGCATAGGGAACCAGGCTCAGCTGGGGAAAGTGGCAGTGGTGACAGTGGGTGGGTTCACCTGTCTACCATGTCCCCCAGGGTGTTCCCTGCCAGCCCAGGCGCAGGCCCGGGGAGGGAGAATGAAGCGTGTGTGGGGCAAGAGCAGCTCTGGAATGCACTCTCATCCATAGGGCATCCAGGGACAGTGGGGCAACAGTGGGTGAGGGAGGAGGTGAATGAGAGGAAAAGAGACGGAGTAGAGAAGGGAGGGGGTGCCAAGAGCCCAGGAGGGGGGAGATTCTTTCCTGATTTAGAAAAGTCCTGGCTGCTGATCCTGTGGTGTTGTCCGCCTGTCCTGGCAGGGGAGATGGGAAGCTTAGAGTAGGGGTACAGCTACCCCTGCAATATGAGTTGTTGCTTGCAGAGCTCACTTTACACAATCCTGGATCTGCCTCTGCAAGCTGGAGAAAGGCCATTTCGTTCTGTATTGTAGGAATGAAGAAATAATGTTGAGTTATACGTAAATCAACACACTGCTTTGACTGACTTTATGCATAGAAACAAAAAGGGAATCTATAAATCCAAGCAATTCAGGGCTCAAGCTACACCATCCTATGTAACACTGGTGTTTTTCACCTCTCCCTGAATCACCAGGCATTGGTCAGAGCCAGAAGCAGCAATGGAATAGTCAAGCATGACAAATCCTTTCAGAGCTGAGAGTTCAAACTGAAAGAGGTCAAGTTTTAATATAGGTATCAATTAGGGCTGTGTGAAACAGCACCGTTTTGTTTTGAATTCTGTTTTGCCATTTCAAAGGGACAGTATTTCGTTTCATCATTTCATTCCGTTTTGAAGCACTGTTCCATTTTATTTCATCAAAACTGTTGCACTGTTTCGAAGTGTTTTGACGTTTTGCCCATAGGCTGTAATGGGAAATTATGAAAATGCCTATAACTTTGTCATTTCTTGCCTGATTCAGATGAAAATTGCAAGGATGATAGCCCCTTCTGAGGGCATGAAGCCTGCCATGTTTCAAGGAGCTAGGTGTTTCTGGGAAACTGCACCTCAAAGTACTGACAAGCAAAACTCATGTCACTTGCAAGCAGCGGCAGCCTCCTGTCATCCTGCATGCAGATCTGGGGCCCACAACCCCGGGAGGGCTGTGGGGTTGTGCCGGACTCATCCCGGTGGTGCAGGCCCCCGAATCTGCACTCGGGATAACACGAGGCTGGCACTACCGCCTGTGACCAGTGCTGGGCACAGCCTGCACCCAGTGCTGGGAAGACTGGTTTTGCCACTGGGCCCAGACAGAAGCAGCAGCCTTCTATCATTTCATGCACAGATCTGGGGGCCTGCACCCCCAGGAGGAGTCCAGCAGTGCTGGGAAGGCAGGTTGAGCTCTGTGGGGCTGGTGGAGCCACTTGGAGTGCAGCCCTGGCTCCCCCTGCTTCCTACCACCAGGTTGCACTCTGAGCGGCTCCGCGAGCCCCATGGAGCTTAGCCCTGTGGCAGAAGGTGGCAGGAGAGTCAATGGTGGAGCCGCTCAGAATGTAGTTCTGGCCAGTGGCTCGCCCCACCTCCTGCTGCCAGGCTCAGCTCCGTGGGGCTGGCGGAGCTGCTCAGAGCGCAGCCCGGTGGCAGGAGATGGGGGAAAGCCAGGGCTGCGCTCTGACTGGCTCCACCAGCCCCACAGAGCTCAGCTCAGTGGTGGGAGGCAGAGGAAAGTCAGGGCTGTGCTCTGAGCAGCTCCACCAGCTCTATGCAGCTGAGCCTGGTGGTGGGAGGCAGGGGAGAGCCATCAGCCAGGGCTGCGCTCCAAGTGGCTCCACCACTGGCTCTCCCACCGCCTCCCGCTGCCAGGCTCAGCTCTGTGGGGCTGTGCTTGGAGCCAGGACTGCACTCCAAGCAACTCTGCCAGTCCTATGGAGTTCAGCCTGGCAGCGGAAGGCGGTGGGAGAGCCAGTGGTGGAGCCACTCAGAGCACAGCCCTGGTGAGCACAGCGGGAGGCTCCGCAGCCCCACAGAGCTGAGCCTGGCAGCGGGAGGCAGGGGAGAGGCACTGGCCAGGGCTGCGATCCGAGCGGCTCCACCACTGGCTCTCCACTGCCGGGCTGAGCTCCATGGGGCTGCTGGAGCTGCTTGGAGCGCAGCCCTGGCTCTCCCCTGCTGCTCACCACTGGGTTGCTTCGAAACTTAAAATGTTTTGAAACTTTTGAAACGTTTCGAGTGCCCTCATTTCATTTTGAAGCTGTTTCTAAGCCTTTTGCTTCATTTTGATTTCACTGTTTCAAGCTTGAAATGCATTGAAAGAGCTTTGAAATGAAACACTTGTTGAAATTTCGCACAGCCCTCGTATTAATATATGTCAGTTTCCTTCCTGTAGTATTATTACTGATTCCCTCTCATTAATTCTTACAGTATCACTCCTTTCCAGGAAACAGCACAAAGAATAGGGTTCAGTGAATAGGAGAGAAGAAGGATCTTATAGCACACTGGGCCCTAGTCCACTTCCTCTGTCACAGCTGCTGCTGTTTGTTAGGATGGGGTGTTTGCAACTGAATGTTCTGCAGGGAACTGCAAAGTACTAATGTCTAGGCATTGGAGTACTGGTGCCACTGTATTTTTTAGTTTACTGAAAAAGAAGAAGTTTGATTAATTTACTAATTTTGTGCCTTTTTCTCCCAGAGCCAACCAAGACAGTCCACTGGAGCTATGGTAGGTCCTGTTGAGAAGAAAATATGATTCACTTGTTTTAAGACAGTGCCAGCAAAGTTGCCAATATCCTTTCTTTACCTTGAGTGCATATAAATTCTCCAGCTTTGTACCATTCTTTGTTGCAGATCAAAGGAAAATAAAAAAAGCTTCTGATTTGGTCATCTACATGGCACTTTTGGTCCTCTAAAGCAGAGGTTCCCAGCTCCTGGGCCACAACCCAGTACCAGGCTGCAAAGGGTTGGCTGCTGGGCCGGAAGGCTGGAAGTGACTAGCGTAGTGCGGACTGGTAGCCAACCCTTTTTTATACTCAGTATAAAAAAGGGTTGTCTGTCAGTCCACATTATGCTGGTCCGCAGTTTGCTGGTCCCTGGTCACTTTCAGTCCTTGGTCACTTCCCATCCATAGTTTGCCAGTCCGCGGTCTAAAAAGGTTGGGAACCACTGGTCTAAAGTGCCAAAAATCGTATTTAAGCAGAGGTAGACTGTGTGCAAAGCCTAGTTTTGTAGACTGTCTTCAGAGATGATTACATGCATGCCCAGACTGGCACAAATGTAGCTGGGTACACACACGTGTCCCTTGTGGATGAATAGTGGCACTCAGGGCCTGAAAATGTGGTTGACCAAAACACAAGACTATAGAAAACTGGACTCAGGAACGGAGGAGGGCCTTCTATCTTTTACTTCTAGCTAGCATGGGCCCTTGCTCCCAGCAAGGAAGAAATGCCCTCCTCTAGTCTGGCTTAGCTTCAAAAGGAGCCCTGAATAACACCTAACCTGTTGTGTGGTTGTTAGAACACTGCTGTTAAGTCAGAAAGACCCATGTTTGCAATCCCTTGTGGGTGAGCAAGGCCTAAAACTCAGATCCTTTAGCTTCCTAGATAAGTGCTTTAGGCCCTAGAGGAGTGAAAGACAGGAAAGACATCCTCTTTCTTGTTGCTACTGCACTTGCCTAGTTTCTGAGAGTACCTGGTTATGTACATGGACACTATGCACCCAGGCACAGCATTCCTGACTGTACACTATGCAGCCAGGAACAGCATCCCTGCCTGTAAGTGGCACTTTTGGCTCTTAAACAAACAAAAAAATCCATGTAAACAACCAAATATAGACAAGGGAATAGAAAGCCACCCTTAGATGTCTCATTGTCACCAGTACATGTAATAGGATCTGCCCCTGTTATATGATGTAGTTTGTGGCAGGGTGACCCCCTGGGCCTCCTGCCAGCCATGGCTGGTCTGATTCAGCTCAACATGCTGCGGTCTCAGGCACGCATTCAAACAGTGTGCCCAGGAGCAATAAACTCTGACACAATAAATGCCAGAGTTTATTGTTTCACATTGTGTACACGTGCCCAGATATGAGCAAAGCCTGATCAAACTGTTGCAGCATGGTGCCAGCTTGCTCTGTGCAGTCTCTCTGCTGGTTGTGGTGAGATGCAAAATAAAAAGCAGGACCAGGAGCTGATGTTTAAATATCCCTCCTGGTTAAGAGAAATATTTTGATTCCCTAAATAATTTCTGACACCAGAGCCACACATGTACGAACTAACCAGATTGGTGCTCCATTGTCTTTACACCACCTGAGTCTTACTTCTCCTTAAAAGGAGTCTCCTCTGCTCTGCTCCTAACTCCCTGTCTGGCCCCCTTACCAAGTGATTCTGCCCCAAGGCAGAAGAGAGACTCCGATAACCCCTGTTCCCATGTTTTCAGTGGAGGGAAGAGCTTTCTCACAAGCTGGATCCTTGCCAGCTCCACTCTCCACATCCTGAACTCATGTCTACCAGCCCCTCTTCCTTGGTCTCTTTGCTTTCCTCCATACGTTGTTGAAGATAAAGGGCAAAGAAAGCTCTCTGGCAAACAGGACTTGTCCTTGTGAAGAAGAAAAGGAGAATGGATTTAATTGGTTGGGTAGATATGCACCTTTATAGACTAAGATATACAGAGAAAGAGAGCACAGCCTTTCATAAACTCAAGTTCACTTCATCAGATGCTGTGAAGGACAGTATAGAGCAGAGAATAAAGTGGAGTGAGTGATTATAATACAATACATGGGAAAGCAGGAGGAAGAAAGGAGGGAGGGGAAGGAGGAATACTGTAAGAGGCATATGAGCAAAGAACCCATAGAAACAAAAAGATCACAAAAGATAATCCAGGTAATGGTCTAAAACGCCATAGTCCCTGTTTAAACCATACTTAACACAGTCCAGTTCATGGATTATTTCTTGTCCTGCAATTTCATGGTCAAAATGGTTTTTAAAAATTTTCTGCCTGAGAACAGCAATCCTGAGGTAAGCGATGGAGTGTCCAGAGAGGTTAAAGTGTTCTGACACAGGCCTTTGTGTCTTTCTGCAGCTGGTGAAAGATTGGTATTCATTCATTCTTGCACATAAAGATTTACTCATCTGTTTGGTATAGACAGCAGATAGGCATTGTAAGCAGGTTATGGTGTTGGTAGAGTTGAAAGTGAATGAACCTTGAATGTTACACTCCTTGATATTTAGTCCAGCAATGATGTGGTGTGTGTTAACATGGGGGCACCGCAGGCATTTGGCTCCATTGCAAGGCTTGGTGCCTTGGTGAGGATGGGAGTTAGGTAGCCTGTTGCTTGAGGGACACTGTTTGAGGTTAGGAGGCTGTCTTTAGCCAGGACAGGTTTGTTCCCCATAATCACCTTGAGACAATGATGAAGTGAACTTAGGGTCACTAAAGCTTGTGCTCTCTACATATATCTTATTTAGTTAATCTATAAAGGTGCATATGTACCTTGCCTTCTGACTAATTTCAGACTAACATGGATAAATATCTTTATCAGTGGACCATAGAATCATAGAAAGTTAGGATCGGAAGGGACCTCAGGACCATCCCCAACTAGATCATCCCAGCCAAAGCTTTGTCTAGCCAGGTCTTGAAAACCACCAAGGATGGAGCTTCCACCACCTCTCTGGGTAACCTGTTTCAGTGTTTTACTACACTCCTAGCGAAAAAATGTTTCCTAATATCTAACCTAAACTTCCCTTGCTGCAACTTGAGACCATTGCTCCTTGTTCTGTCATCTGCCACCACTGAGAACAGTTTAGCTCCACCCTCTTTCAAAGCCAGCTTCAGTTAGTGGAAGGCTGCTATTAAGTCCCCTCTGTCTCCTCTTCTCTAGACTAAATAAGCCCAGTTACCTCAGTCTTTTCTTATAAGTCATGTTCCCCAGCCCCCTTACCATTTTTGTCACCCTCTGCTAGACTCTCTCCAGTTGGTCCACATCCTTTCTGTAGTGGGGGGCCCAAAACTGAGCATAGTACTCCAGATGTGGCCTCACCAGTGCTGAATAGAGGGGAGTAATCACTTCCCTTGACCTGCTGGCAACACTTCTACCAATGCAGCCCAGTATGCTGTTAGCTGGCAACAAGAGTACACTCTTGGCTCATATTCCACTTATTGTCCAGTGTAACCCCCAGGTCTTTTCTGCAGAGTTGCTGCCCAGGTGGTCAGCCCCCAGCCTGTCCTGGTGCATGGGATTGTTCCATCTTAAGTGCAGGACTTTGCACTTGTCCTTGTTGAACCTCATGAGATTCCTTTTGGCCCAATCCTCTAATTTGTTTAGGTCTCTCTTAATCCTAGCTCTACCCTCCAGTGTATCTACTATTCCCTTCAGGTTGGTGTCAGCTGCAGATTTGCTAAGGGTGCACTCTATGCCATCTTCCAGGTCACTGATGAAGACATTGAACAAAACCAGCACCAGGACCGACCCCTGGGGCATACCACTTGATACCGGCTGCCAACCAAACATTGACTCATTGATTACTACTCTCTGAGCTTGATGCTCCAGCCAGTTTTCCATCCATCTTACAGTCCATTCATCCAGCCCATACTTCCTTGAAGAATGTTCTGGGAGACCATATCAAAAGCTTTGTTAAAATCAAGGTACACCCCATTCACTGGTCTCCTCGCATCCACGGAGCCAGTTCTCTCATCATAGAAGGCAATCAGGTTGGTCAGGCATGACTTGCCCATGGTGAATTTATGCTGACTATCCCTTATCACTTTTTAATCCTCTAAGTGTTTAGAAATGGATTCCTTGAGGATCTGCTCCATGATTTTTCCAGGGACCGAGGTGAGGCTAACTGGTCTGCTGTTCTCTGGATCCTCCTTTTTCCCTTTCTTAAAGATGGGCACTATGTTTTCCCTTTTCCAATCATCTGGGACTTCTCCTGATTGCTATGAGTTTTCAAAGCTGATGGCCAATGGCTCTGCAATCACAAGACCATGGCCTTGCCCCCCACTCAGTCACCATATTTCAGGTCAGGAAGGAATTTTACCCCTTGGTCAGATTGGTATGGACTGGGGGGGTTGCCTTCCTTTGTACCCCTCTACATGGGATCTCTCACATATATATTAACAATCTTTCATAGAAACAGGACGTTGGCTGCTGTGGGTCCTTCGTAGGGTATTGTGTGTTGTGCTGTGTTAGGGTTGACGGTAGTTTAATGAAGAGTGTAGACTATGGATTTGTATAGGATGATTTGGATAGGATGATCCTGCCTCAGGCAGGGGATTGGACTAGATGACCCCTGGAGGTTCCCTTCCAGCCCTTTCCTTTTTTGTGTCTTTGCGTGACAAGATATTTGGCACCTACAGAATTTGCCTGCATAATTCACAGATTTGTTGGAATCTGACAGGACCATACCACGAATGGTTCTGCTATAGCCTCAGCCTTGTGACATCTGGATTGTCAAACATGCACCTTAACACCCAGCACCACCCCACTTCCAGCCCTACTTCTCTATGATTCATTACTAGCCACTGCTGAGCTCTGTGTTTTCCAGTTCAGAAGCTTCCTCTCAAGATGCCTAGACTTTGAGAGGGGCCCTCCTGCAGAGAAACTGACATAATACAAGGGGATAAGGGTGCTAATTCCCTGACATAGGATCTAGACTCACAACAGATTTACATCAGTGTAAATTACATTGGTTTTGTACACTGGTATAATTTGCACCATGACCCAGACTGGACAGATGAGCAGGTATATGGGAATAGGTGCCCTCAGTAGGCACTATTACAAAGCCTCACTTTTAACTAATGGTGGGAGCATATAAAAACCTGTTTTCCCATAGCACATAGCTACTCCCAGATAGGGGCAGAGACATACTTATACCAGTGTAATGTACAGGGGTATACTTGTACCCAACTTTTCCCAGTGTAATTCCACAGTTCATTCAAAATACACTGTTGTAGGGTGGTACATCATATGTTCACTCTTCTGTAAAGGCTGATAAGATCTGGTATCTAAGCCCATATACAGATGTTGACTAGATGCTGGGATGAAGTTAAAATCTTTCAGAGTTATGCTGCTTCTGTTGGGCTAACACATAAAAGAGCAAAAAGAGCTTACTGAGATCAGGACTGTCAGCAAATCTGAGTCTGAGACAAGCAGAGCACAGATCTAAATGAACACTTCTACATCATTGCTTTTTAGACTAGTCCCAAGGGCCAGATGGGCCAGATATGGCCTACAGATCTGTCATCTGGCCCATGGGGCTTGAGGAGGGTCCAGAAACTCATCAGCAGGATGAGTGGCGGTAGCATTAACCCTCACAGCTCCCTGAGTCCCTGTGTTGGTTCAGGGAGCCACAAGAGTTAATGCCACCGTCATTCGCCCCACCCCCGAATTCCCAGGTATGAAGCCCCACTGGGGTCTTGTTTTAGCAGCAGCCAGACAAGCGATTGCTGTGTTAACACCCAAGGGTGCCTGAGTTGCTCTGTCAGATCAGGAAACCTCATGGGCTAACATCACTATTGCTCAGCCTACCACCAAATTTATGGGTATGGAGTCCCACTGGGGATTTGTTTCAGTGGTGGCAGGGTGAGTAATGGCAGCGTTAACCCTTGTGACTCCCTGAGCCAACGAAATGGCTCAGGCAGCCCTTGGGGTTAATGCCACTACCACTTGTTCTGATGCTGGAGGTGGGTCTGAATGAGGCTTGCAAGGAGCCCCGCAGTCCAGATCTGGGTCAGGATGGTCAAACAAATTTTACATCCCTAGACTACAGCATCAGGTTAGCAGTATCACTTAGCATATAGGAGTCAAACCCACTCTGACTAACTGACCCTAGCCTTTCCTGCACCTTCCAAAAATAACTGTGTTTTCTTACTGTCTTTTCATCCTCAATGTACATAGGGCAGGCCTCAGAGGAACCCCCCTGGGCAGCACAAACACTGTGAGAAATGTTTCAGCCGGTACTGCCGAGTCCCCATCGAGCCCACCATCTCCTGCATGGTGATCAACTGCCACTTGCACTGTGGCGCTGCCTTTCACAAGTGCAAAGAGGAAGAACACCAACTCCTATGTCCCCTCGAGCAGGTAGCATGCCTCAACTCAGCCTATGGCTGCCCTTTCTCCATGGCCCGCTTTAAGCTGGCAAAGCACCTTCAGGTCTGTCCAGCCAGCATTGTGTGTTGCTCTATGGAATGGAATCGCTGGCCAAATGTGGACTCAGACACTATCCTACATCAGAACATTATGAAGGAACCACATAACGAAGAGTGTCTGGATACAGCACTAGCCCTCCGAGATCAGAAGATTCTTTTTAGGAATCTGAAGGTGGCTGAGCTGTTTCCTGAGTGGAGAGAAGATGATGAAATGGAAGCGCTAATGGTTGAAGATGCACGTTTAGAACAAGGAGCTGTTGGAGGAGCATTCTGTGGTTCTACAGAAAATGATGGCCAAGTGGTAGAGCTGAGCCAACTCGAGCGTGAGGAGTTGGCAATAGACAAAGAGGGGATGGACCTGTTAGGTTACAAAACCTGGGAAAACATTTTTAGCAAGGAACTTTCAGCTTGCAAGGTAACAGGCTCATCAGAAACCACAGAAAAAAAGGAATGTGGAAACTCCAAGAAAACAGTGCCAGTTTCTTCTGGAGACAAACCCGAAGAGAAGTCAATGGAGGCATCTGCCACGGAGGACCCAAAAGATGACAAAAAACCTCATGAAGTCAATATACCTGCAGAAAAGACAGGCCTGGCCCCTTGGCAAGATGGGGTTCTGGAAAGGTTGAAAAAAGAAGTTGATGTAGGTGGTTATAACATGTACCTGGTGCATCATGGGAGAATGCTTATCCATTTTGGCCAGTTAGCTGCTTGCACACCCAAAGAAAAAGATTTTGTCTATGGGAACTTGGAGCATCAAGAAGTGAAAACCGTCTGTACCTTTAAAGTGCCTACCAGCTATTATGGCAAAAGAGCACGACTTGGAGATGCCCTGGGACATAAGATGCCAAGTGCGAACAAGTCAGTGGATACTTCAGAGTTGGGAATAAATGTGGAAGAACTACCCAAATCAGATGTAGTCAGAACTACATTACTGTGTGCATTGGAAAAAGAACTGAAAGGTCACGAGATATCCGAAGCAAAGAGTATTGATGGACTGTTCATGGATTTTGGAACACAGACATACACATTTCAAGCAGAACCCTTCTCTGCTAGGACAACTCTAGCAGATGTTCTGGATGCACAGAACCCCCCAGAACTCCATGTAGAGCTTTATACACAAAGTGTGACTAGAAGGCATAATAAAAGCAGCTCAATATTCACATTCATGTGCAATCACTTCTTCAGGAGGGATGAGTTTCCTTCACATTTCAAGAATGTGCATGCTGATATCCAGTCATGTCTGGACAGGTGGTTCCAACACCGTTGTCCCCTTGCCTACTTGGGATGTACTTTTGTTCAGAACAATTTCCGTCCTCCCGGTCATAAAGCAAAGGTTATTTACAGCCAGCCTCTCAAGACATTTGCTATTAAACCACTGGTTGACCCTGTTCTTTCTGAATCAGAGAAATGCAACTTCAAAATGAGGATTCAAGTTGAAGATAAGTGCTCTCTAAGCAGCCTCCCAGCAGAACTGCTGAAATACATTGCCAGCTTCTTAGATAGCTTCAGCTTGTCTCAGTTGTCCCAAGTGTCCGTGCTAATGAGGGACATCTGTGCCACTCTGCTTCAGGAGAGAGGAATGGTCTTCCTGCTGTGGGAGAGAAAGAGATATTCTCATGGAGGCACTTCATGGAGAGCTCGTAAAAAGGCAAGTAACTAATCTTTGAGAAAGAAGAGAGAGGTAGTTAACTATGTTAAACTGAAGCCAGGCAGAAGGCAGGACAGGGATGAACCCTATAGATTAGCTGAATCAGAGTTGCAGAAGTTTTCATGAGCAAGAGCTCACTTCATCAGAAAGTGAATGCATCTCTGATTCAATTAGTCATTGAGAAAGAAAGATATTTGTAGGATAGGCTCATTAAAAAGGAAATACAAGTACTTTATTCTTTGCCTGGTGTGAGCTGAGCTTTTCCAACGCTTTTAAAGGTTCTGCACCAGACTTTTTACCTTTGTGCCTTTTTTGGTCCTTTATAATTTTTAAAGAGAGCCTGAAATGACTATATCCTTGGCAAAAAATGAAACATTCACAAGTACTCACTGGGCATGTCTACATGAGATGTTTACTGTGGAGCTAATTCATCTCAACATCTACAGATGTGCCCCTATTAGGGTGCAGGAAACTAATAAACTGAGCAGCAGGGTAGAGCTTGTAAATACAGGTACTACCCTGCTGCAGAGATTTTTCATTTGCAGCAGCACATGTATAGATCCTGACCCAGCTGGCTGGGGCACAAGGGTACTTCAGTGCAGGGGCTGCCTGCTGGCTAGCCCTGCACTTAAGCACTCGCATGCCCCAACCAGCCCATTCACAGCCCCAGGCTGGCAGGCTGACCCCTGGGGCCCTGCCAGCCGGGGCTGCTCCAATCAAGCTCCATGTGCTGTGCAATAATAAACTCTGGAGCTGATTGCTCCGGAGTTTATTCATGCAAACTAATTGTTGACTTGCCCACTGTGATGGAGAAGGGAGCCTGTATGTTCATGCCAGTTTCTAACATTTTCACAAAATGGAAGTTTGCAAGGTTTTTGTGAAACTTTGACTTTGGAATTGAACTGTTTAACAGGATCAGATATAAAATAGGAGCTCTTCATATTTAATTAACTGGTAAAAAAAAATTCTCTCACAGTGGTGATGACTGGAAATTAACTCCACCTGACAGCTGCTTGGTCATCTGAATAAAATCTTTTGGCACATCTGAGATTTTTTTTCCAGTCAAAATATTCAGCATCACAGTGGATGTTAATTAGTGGCCTTGCTATCATTCTTACAAGAGGTCAAGGGCTGAATGGTCTTGGAAACTTTAACATGATTAAATATACTGGGTAAGAGATTTAGAGACAACAGATGTAGGCTCTACTAAAGGATGCATCTTGGAGGGCAATGATTCTGAAAGGCACTTATGGTTACGATGGGTAACCAAAGGAATATGAACTCTCAGTAAAAAGCTATGACCAAAATAGCCAATACAATCCTTGGGTGCATTTAAAAAAGTAAATATTTAGCAGGAGGGGAAAAGCTATATGTTACTTTATATATTGCATTGCTGAGAATATTGCTATGTTGCTTCTAGTAATGTTGAGTCAATTTCTGATGTTTACACTTCAAAGGGATGTTAAAAAATTAGAGAGGGTTTAGAGAAGGGCCACAAAATGATTGAGAATAGACTTTTAGTGAGACAATTAAAAGAGCCCATTTAGTGACTTAACCATAGCTTGTGTGTACATCTTACGGGGAGAAGATATATCAGTCTTTGGGTATGACTTGACCTACCTAAATAGATACCATGGCTGGAAACTGAAGCTAGCCATATTCAAACCACAAACAAGTTGCAAAATTGTAATGGTAAAGATAATCAGCCATTGGAGTTACTTACTGAGGGATGTGAGGCATTTTTCTTGATCACTTGAAACCAAGACTGGATGTCTTTCTTAAAGATATTGTCACGGCAGGGTCCTGCAGGAGGGCCGTGATCTTGAGGCCCCCTCTCCGTGTCAAGTCGGCCCAAGGGCACCCTCTATTCTCACCCGCCACGTCTTTGATCTTAAGTTAAGTTGGGAGGCTGCCTTATGTCCTCTTGGACACAGACTCCTGGACCCCTCGTGGATCTTGTCCAGCACAAATGGGTGCTTCGGGGCACCCTAGCCTTATGGGCTACGCATGGCTCCAACCACCCCTGATACCACGCCCCAAGCCTCGCAGATGGGATAGACGTTGGTTTGTCTCTCTACGTACACTGAGCCTCCTGGGGCTCTCCTTGCCCGCTCCGGGCCTTCGCTGCGCCGTCGCCCTCTCTCAGGGCCTTCTCTGAGCTGTTGCCCCCTGTCTGGGCCTTTTCAATAGTGTCCCCTCCTGGGGCCTGCTATGCCCTTACTGGGGCTTCTCGATAATGTCCCCCCTTCTGGGGCTCTCTCTGCGCCCACACTCGGGCTTCTAAAATGCCGCCCCCTTCCTTGGGGCTTTCCGCGCCCACACCTGGGCTTCTAAAGTATTGCCCCCTTCCTGGGCTCGTCACGCCCGCACTGGGCTTCTCAATGCTGTCGCTCTCTCTCGGGGCCTTCTCAATAGTGCCCCCTCCCTGGGGCTCGTCATACCCACACTTGGGCTTCTAAAATATTGCCCCCTTCCTGGGGCCGTCACGCCCGCACTGGGGCTTCTCAATAGTTGCCCCACTCTGGGGCTCGCTACGCCCACGCTGGGGCTTCTCAATAGTTGCCCCACTCTGGGGCTCGCTACGCCCACGCTGGGGCTTCTCAATAGTTGCCCCACTCTGGGGCTCGCTACGCCCACGCTGGGGCTTCTCAATAGTTGCCCCACTCTGGGGCTCGCTACGCCCACGCTGGGGCTTCTCAATAGTTGCCCCACTCTGGGGCTCGCTACGCCCACGCTGGGGCTTCTCCAAAGTGCCCCTCTCTAGGGCTCGCTACGCCCATGTTGGTGCTTCTCCAAAGTGCCCCTCTCTAGGGCTCGCTACGCCCGCGCTGGGGCTTCTCCAAAGTGCCCCTTCTCTGGGACTGGGGTCTAAGCACCCCGTAAGCTGCGCCCTCACTGGCACTGGGGTCCGCACGCCGCTGTGGGTTCCCCCTGAGTATGCTGCGCCCTCACTGGCGCTAGGGCCCGGCCACCCCTGTGGGTCCCTATGAGTATGCTGCGCCCACTCGGGTGCTGGGGTCCTCACCCTTTGTTGTGAGTCCCCAATGAGGCCTCCTCCAACCTCTATAGCCTCACCCAAACCACCGGTGTAATAACAAAACAACGCCAAAGCAAAACCACAAGCCCCTAGGCTGTAACTGCCTGGCTATAACTTAACACCACGGCTCAAGCCTCCCAAGCTGCCTTCTGTAACTCTGCTCAAGCAGTACTTGCAGTTCTCACTGCTTCTTGTGTCATGCCTGAGAGAGCTCCTGCCTCTCTGGCTGCTGACAGGGAACTGCCAGCCTGGCTTCAGCCCTGGGCTTTATGAAGGCCAGGCCCTGCCCCCTCCGGTCAGCTGACTTCCTGGTTGCCCCGGGCAACCCGCAGCTGTGCTTGTTATGTCCTGCCAGGGCTCCTATTCCCTGCCAGGGCTCCCTATGCACTGCCAGAGCTTTTCCTCTGGCAGTTTCTGCCCCTCTAAGAGCAGGGCACCTCGGTGCTCTGCGACAGATATGCTTTCTCATTCACTCGCACGGTAAAACCTTTATGCAGAAATTACTGTGTGAAATGTTATGACCTATGTAAAAAGCTCAAACAGGTCACAGTGGCCCCTTCTGGTCTTGAAATCAATGAGTGGAATGCCCATCTCAGTCTGGGTGAGAAGTGAGGGAGGTCTGTAGACAAAAGACATCAGTTTCCAGAGATGTCGCTCAGACACATTTCACTAGCACTTCCCTAAC